GAGTAGAGAGGGGATCTACGCCATGGTAAGGGATGGGAGGGAGGGGTAGGATGTCAGATATGACGCGAGCGCACCTAGCTTGTCCCCCTCCCCCTCCCCCTCCCCCTCCCCCGCACCCCCCTCCTCCCTTCCTGCTCTGATGCCCCCTGGTGCTGTCTGCCTCTGGCCGGGACCGGCGGCACCCCCGTGCCAGACCTTGCGGCGACGCCGTCGGGAGAGGAAGCAGGAAGTCCCGAACACGAGGCGCACGACGGCGCGCCTCGTTCGCCGCGCCGCGCTGGGCCCAGACACCCAGGAGCGCGCGCATTCGTCCTCGCTCTCCGATGACCCCCAAACAAATCCTCTTCCTCCTCCTCCTCCTCCTTCCTCCTCCTCCTTCCTCCTTCGTCCTCCTCCTCCTCCTCCTCCTGCTCCTCCTCCTCCTCCTCCTCTCCCCCCTCCCCCGCCCCCTTGCTTCCTCCTCTTCCCCTCCTCGGCGATGTATCGCGGAGCTGGTCCCCCCGAAGCTCCCCTTCATTCCTGTCCGCGGCCCCCAAAAGTCCCGACCCGTCCACGGGGGGCAGTTTGTTAGTTCCTGAACCGTTTCTGATGTTCCTGGGGGCCTGAATGCAGCGACTGAACATCTGGTTTGGCTTCCTGCTCGCGTGTGCGCAGGGGGCGGTCGCAAGGGGCCAGTCCTTCGGGGCGCCACTTCGGAGACCCCCCCGCCGCCGCTGTTGTGTCAGCTCGTTGGTCTGTCGGGGGGCAGGGGGAGGTGGGGGGCTCGTAGCTCGTAGCGGGACGAGCGGTCGGGGCGTCGGGGCACAAGCAGAGGCTCCAACCAGGAGTTCTTTTTCCTCCCTTGCCCGCTTCCTTCTCGGTCCTCTAACGCAGCGTTTTTATTCGCATCGTGGACCCCTACAGTCAAGACGTTCAAATAAGGACCGCGTTGGTTTCAGGAGAGGCTCAGCTTTTCGAGCCGTTCCTTAGATTTATGTCATGGAACTTGTTTGTGGCCTAGGCCCGCCGTGGCCAGAAGATCCCCCTCGTTCCTGATTCTGCGTTCTTTTTGGTGGTACGATGACTGTAGATATCTCAGCCCCCTCCCTGGGACGGGCTCTTCATCCCGAGTCGTGTTCGGGCGGCCTGGGGGGCCCGGGGAATGCTCCCAGCGGCAGACACGAGTCCCGATTTCTGTTTCTCGGCGAGGAGGGGATTAGGGCTTTTCGCTACTTCCATATATAAATATACCATATCATATACCATATATCATATATCATATATCATATTTCATCAGAGTGAGGGGGCCGAACGGTCATTCACTGTCCCTGGGTGCGTGGCTGAAGTGGAATTCCGCGGTGCGGATTCTCGTTGTTGTTGTTGTTGTTGTTGCTGTTGCTGTTGTTGTTGGTTGTGTTGTTGTTGTTGTTGTGGTTGTTGATGTTGTTGTTGTTGTTGTTGTTGTTGTTGTTGTCGTTGTTGTTGTTGTTGTTGGTGTTGTTGTTGTTGTTGGTGTTGGTGTTGTTGTTGTTGTTGTTGTTGTTGTTGTTGTTGTTGTTGTTGTTGTTGTTGTTTGTTTGTTTGTTTGTTTGTGCTGTTGTTGTTGCTGTTGTTGGTGTTGGTGTTGGTGGTGTTGTTGTGTTTGTTGTTGTTGTTGTTGTTGCTGTTGCTGTTGCTGTTGCTGTTGTTGTTGTTGCTGTTGTTGTTGTTGTTGTCGTTTGTTTGTTTGTTTGTTTGTTTGTTGTTGTTTTTGTGGTTGTTGTTGTAGTAGTAGTAGTAGTTGTTGTTGTTGTTGTTGTTGTTGTTGTTGAACATTATTTCTTCTAAAGAATAATTATTGTTGGGACCCCTGGTGCACGGCCCCCCCGCCGCGCCTAGGCCGCAGCCACATTTTCATCATTTTCGAGCGAAAGCCCTTGACAAAACGATGTGATCCAGATCCGGTTGTTTTGTTACGGCCCGCTTTCCCTTGCAAAAAACAATATAAAATGACATTTCTTGTTCTAACATAACCACATTTCAAGAATCCCTTGCAAAAAATAAGGTAAAGTGGACATTCGCGCGCGCAAGACGAAATCCTTCCAAAACCTTAGTTTTCGCAGCGATTTTAACATAAAAACATCAAAAAAAAAAACTTGTCAAAATGTCATCCCGCGCGCTCTTGCGGATTCGTAGGAAACCCAACACTTTTTAAACATTTCTGTCAAACGGGCTTTTGCGAGCAACTTTTTCGAACTTCTGCAACAACGGTTGCGCACCTGCCAGGGCCATCATCCCTGTCAAATAATACCATGCGGGACACATTCGTTTTTTCTTCGCGCGCGCACGCCGTCGTCGTCGGCCGCGGGGCCCTGAATAGTAGCCACGGTCGTCCGCATGCCACGAAGTGAAGTGTCCGAACGTCATAGGGCGGGAAGCTGGGTGTGGGTGGTGGCGAAGAGTCGTTTGGAAATTTGGTAGAGCTTGAACCGGCCCCCCCACAAAGTGGGGGTATTGCCCGCCTCCTATGAAAACCCTGGCACTGGTGAGAACGGAGTGTCCCCACGTGCTAGTAATTGTTGTTGTTGTTGTTGTTGTTGTTGTTGTTGTTGTTGTTGTTGTTGTTGTTGTTGTTGAACATTATTACTTCTAAAGAATAATTATTGTTGGGCCCCTGGTACACGACCCCCCTCCAAAACCTAGGCCGCAGCTACATTTTCATTATTTTTTCGCGAAAGCTTCAGAAAAGTGGATTAGTACCGGATCCGGTTGTTTTGTTCCCCCCCGCTTTCCCTTGCAAAAAACACTATAAAATGAAATTTCTTGTTCAAATGTAATCCAATTTCAAGAATCCCTTGCAAAAAATAAGCTAAAGTGGACATTCGCGCGTGCAAGACGAAATCCTTCCAAAACCTTAGGTTTCGGAACGATTTCAACATAAAAACATCAAAAACCCAATGGTTTTTTAAATAAAAAATTGTCAAAATCTCATCCCGCGCGCTCTTGCGGATTCGTAGGAAAACCATCACTTTTTAAACAATTTTGTCAAACGGGCTTTTGCGAGCAACTTTTTCAAACTTCTGCGACAACGGTTGCGCACCTGCCAGGGCCATCATCCCTGTCAAATAATACCATGCGGGACACATTCGTTTTTTCTTCGCGCGCGCACGCCGAAATCTACAAAAACCATTGGGTTTTTAAGAATTTTACCATCGCGCATCATACAATCACACGAATCGGATGCTCTGTGGAAGGCTTAACAACTTCTGTGGGTTAACAAGGCTTAACAACTTCTGTGGGTGTACGAACGTAGGCTTAACAACTTCTGTGGGTGTGTACTCCACGCCAGTGTAGTAGCCACGGTCGTCCGCAGGCCACGAAGTGAAGTGTCCGAACGTCATAGGGCGGGAAGCTGGGTGTGGGTGGTGGCGAAGAGTCGTGTGGATATTTGGTAGAGCTTGCACTGCCCCCCCACAAAGTGGGGGTATTGGCTGGCGTCGCATGAAAACCCTGGCACTGGTGAGAACACTGAGCGTTCGGGTAAAGTGATTGTTGTTGTTGTTGTTGGTGTTGTTGGTGTTGTTGTTTGTTGTCGTCGTCCCACCCGCAACCCGCCCCGCGACCCACCCGCGACCCAGCCCGCGACCCACCTCGCGACCCACCCGCGACCCACCCGCGACCCACCCGCGACCCACCCCGCGACCCACCCCGCGACCCACCCCGCGACCCACCCCGCGACCCACTCCGCGACCCGCCCGCGGCCCACCCCGCGACCCACCCGCGACCCACCCGCGACCCACCCGCGACCTACCCCGCGACCCACCCGCGACCCACCTCGACCCAAACCACGTTCAAGGTACAAACCACAATTCTCGGCGCCTGTGGCGGGTTTTTTTTTGCATTCCTTCCAGGTGGAGAGCCCGCGACCGACCCCGTGACCAACTCGCGACCAACCCGCGACCCAGCCAACGTTCAGGGTACAAACTACATTTTTCGGCGCCTGCGGCGGGCATCTTTTGCATTCGTGTTTCAGGTGGAGAGCCCGCGACCGACCCGCCACCACGTTCAGGGTACAAACCACAATTTTCGGCGCCTGCGGCGGGCATCTTTTGCATTCGTTCCCGGTGGAGAACCCGCGGCCCACCCGCGACCCAAACCACGTTCAGTGTACAAACCAATTTGTGTGGCGCCTGCGGCGGGCTGCTTTTGCATTCCTTCCAGGTGGAGGTGGAGAGCCCGCGACCCACCCGCGACCTAAACCACGTTCACTGAACAAACCAATGCCGCACAAGCGCGGCGGCGGATTTTTGCATGCCGTCTGAGCCCGCAAGGACCTCTTCAAGCCCCGCGCATCCACACCAGCCCGTCCAGCAACTTTGCCCTGGCGAGTTGCCTTGATCAGAGAAGGCGGGGAGCATAAAGTGGAAAAACGGATTGCGTTGCAGTTATCTTGGGAAAGGAGGGGGAGGCAGGAGGAGTAAACAAGGGACGACGAGAACGCGGAAGAAAGGAGGATGTACGGAGAATGTGGAGAAAGAAAAGGAGGAGGAGCAGGAGGACGAGGAGGGGGAGGAGGGGGAGGAGGGGGAGGAGGAGGACGAGGAGGGGGAGGAGGGGGAGGATGATGATGATGGACGACAATGGGAGGACGATGATGGAGGCCGATGAGGGGGAGGACGACAATGGGAGGACGATGATGAAAGGACGAGGGGGGGAGAGGGAGGACGAGGAAGAAGGAGGAGGAGGACGAGGTGGAGGAGGAGGATGACGATGACGATGACGATGAGGACGAGGAAGAGGAGGAGGAGGAGGAGGAGGAGGAGGAGGAGGAGGAGGAGGAGGAGGAGGAGGAGAGCGCCATCGACAGGGAAGGTGGGGGCCACGAGGTCCGCCGGCTCGACGACGCCCGCGTCGCCCGCGCCCGCCCCCTCACTCTTATCCGCAATTGCGGGGTGCTACGTATATCATATATCCCTCCCTGCTCTCTCCTCGTCGCTCTCCCGCGCCCCCCCCATTCCCCTTGCGCGGCGGCCGGACCCCAGGAGGATCGCCGCAACGCCATCCTGGACCAGCAGGAAGATGCCGAGTTCAGACTGCTGGAGCACGAGCAGAAGAAGGAGAGGCGACCAGCCCGCCATCGCGTCGTGACAAACATCGCGACGGCTGTTTTGCGCTGTTTCGTCATGTTCGGCCTCCGCGCACAGGGCTGGGGCATTCAGCGTGCGTGTGGGCGCGCTGGTAGGAGGGCGTGCTGGCGGTTGCAGTGTCTTCGGCGACACTCCCGCCTTCCTGGGGCACCGCCCAAAGGGGGTCGGCTTCCCGTATGACGTGCATGTTGTGGTATCTCAAGCTGCAGCTCAGAGGGCTCACTCCGTGCAGACATCGACCTCGCACATCCGCGGAACCTCGCCTTTCGGGCGAGTGCCACTCAGCAGGGTGCATCTACAGGATATGGGATGCGCCTCCGCGTGAGTCGTTGTGAGAGGAGCGATCGGGAGGGCCGCGTGCGGGAATCGAGCCTCGCAAGAGAGCCGTCTGGAGCCGTGTCCGTCCCTGGGGGTGTCGGGGCGCCTGATGAGACCGCCCGCCTGGCCGTGGAGAAGGCACTGATCCCTGCGGTCCTCGTGCTTCTGCATGTCTGCCGAGCGCGTGGGGCCCATGCCGTGTTGGCCCTCGCCTCCTACCCCTTCTGCTCCCCAGGCTCCGTCCTCCGCGGCCCAGGTGGTCGACTCTTCGGAGGACCGCTCGCTCTCTACGATAGCAACGGCGAGACCAGCCTGCACGGACGACCTGAGAGAACGGGGTCGACTGCGGGGACAGTCCGCGCGTATGCTTTCCGCGTAAGATCGCGCGTACGTGCCCTCTTCTCCACGCGGTGTTCACGCTGGCGGCCTGCGTAAGTCGGGGCGCGATGTCGCGTTGTCTTCTCGTGCAAGACCCGCTTCTCTTCGTCGCTCGCATGGGGCTGCGGCTCATGCCGCTCTTCTTACCACCGCCCACCCTGCCGCCCCACCCATTCCTACAGCCAAGACGCCGAAACAAGGACCCCTGCGGGCCCAGGAGGGGCTCGGGTTTTCGGACCGTTCCTTGGATTAATGTCGTGGAACCTGTTTGTGGCCTGGGCCCACCGTGGCCAGAAAAGCTCCTTCGTTCCTTATTACGCGTTCCTTCTAGCAGCACGATGCGAACTGCGACGGGAGTGGTCCTGGCTGCGGGTCGCGGGAGGGCACCGTGGGGCGATGGGGGATCGGCGTGCGTGCAATGATCCCTCGTGTGAGCGGTTCTCACTTCCGTGCGGCCCCTGGCCCCCTTACCACCTGTGCCAGCTCGCGCTTCGTGATCCGGTGGCTTTCAGCTGCCTTGTCAAGGGGGAGGAGGAGGAGGAGGAGGAGGAGGAGGAGGAGGAGGAGGAGGAGAAGGAAAAGGAAAAGGAGAAGGAGGTGCCTTCGAGTGTTCTTCACTTTGGCCGACCCAGGGTCTCATGTTCTTGAAGGACGTCATTCTGCCCTCGGCCCAGCCGTATGAGGAATAGAAGGAGGGAGTGGAGGCCGGGGAGCAACCGAACAAAGAGGAGGAGGAGTGCGAAGGAAAAATATAAAGCGGAGGTGGAGGAGAAATCCAAAGAGGATGAGTAAAGGAGAATGAAAGTTACGTTAAGAATGGCCAGACAATGCCAAGGGAGAACCCTCCTCCGCAAGTCAATTTCATGCACTGGGCAAACCCTACGCATCTGCTGGATTGCACCGGTGCGTTCGCAGGGGCTTCAGACGCGATACGCGCGAAGGCCATGCACTTTCACACGCGCCACGAATTCTGAGTCACTTGATACTCCGGGCCAGGAAAATGTTCCCTCTGCAATGTTATGTGTGTCAACCATTCAATGGCAACTGGCGGCCTAAAGACCCTGTATATATTATGTTGGGCACGTGTCGTTCGTAGAACAGGCCAGGCAATTAATTATACACTGTAGGTTGTCCTGTGGCGGTTCTGCGAAGTCCCATGGGACCGGGCCCAGATACTTCAGTGTATTGTAGTGGCCGGGCCAGTGCCACCGATCCAGGGCGTTCTCGTCGTTGTTGAGGACTTCGGCGACGACGACGACGAACGACGAAGTCGACGGAGTATCGGCGACGATCATTGACGAGAGCCGACGACAACGGACGACGAGGACGATTGGCTAAGACGATGGACGGTTCACGGCGAGCGATGACTGACCACCGACGACCAACGACGACGACCGATGACGACGATGAATACCTCAGCGTACATACGCGCGGTCCTTTATATGAAATATGTAGGTAGGGCACCTTGACTTATAAGGTACACGTACACGTGTCGATTGATCTTCCCACTGCCGATCTCCAGCCCCTTGACGACGACGAACGTACGTCAACGAACTTGGATATGTCAACAAATCCTGTTTCCCTCTGCGTAGGATTACCAAACCCATCTCGCAAGCAGCTCGAAACATACGTACACGATCCGCACGCTCATCTGCCTAAGGGGAGACGATCCAGCCATATTTGGAGGTCTCGCGAGGGACCGAAGTCCAGAACCCATCTGGTAACTCCAACCGATGTTGAATGGCTCCCCGTTCCGTATGGAAGCGGGGGCGCACCCCCCAGACGTGTCGAAACGATTTCCCAATACGGCCACAATGTTTGCATGGCAACCCCGTTCCCGTCCTTGTCTCCGAGGAGACAGCTCCACTCCGAAAAATGTTCAACAGGGTGCGGTCAGCTTCTTCAAGAATCGATACCCGTTTCTTGAAACTCTTATGAGAACACAAGTTCACGTCTATGTCCTCAACCTGTTCTGCGTCATGTCGGTTTCGCTGCACTTGCTGAACGCACCGAATTCTTTCAATGGCTCTGATGGCGTGTACTGACTTGGAGGCTGACCAAAACGCCATCGATCGCCACAGAGCGTCTCCACAGCTTTGTGCACTTCTAGTGCACCTCGGTCCTCCGCGTACCTGATGTACTGCAGTCCCAGGGCTTTCGCGTGTTGGGCCATCAACGTCTCGAAGAAATCTGACACGCCAGCTTCGTGTCCGTCGCGTTCTGGATGCCGGAGATCGTGGAATAAAGCGCTGGATGTCGTAATGCGTTCTGAGCCCACCATCTGCCGTAGCACCGCCAGGTGCAACTTGTCCGCCACACGGCCTTGGCCAGGAGCCTTGCGCACTTGGCAGGGGGTGGAACCACGAGCGGGCTCGCCCAGATCCGTAGCGGTCGCAGGTATGCCAGCGCCAACTTCAGCCTCACCTAATCAGAACCAGGGAATGATGCCAGCACCTGCAAAACCATTCTGAAGCTTCGTCCAGCCACCTCGAGGGAGAATGTGTTGCATGGGATTCGTCGGCGAAGCCACGATGCTGAGGTGCTCGATATTGGTGCCCTCGAGGTCCTGGTCGGACCGCGTCTGGCGCTTGGAAATATTCTCTCGATATCCAATCGGTCCATCGACACGTTGAGTGACATCCAGATCTTCGCGAATGAACTCGGGGCTCTGCGCAACCGGGGGCCGATCATCCATGAAACAGTGTCCCTTGCAAGTCGGTTGCCACGGAGTCAAGGTCGCGATCGTAGTGGCTGGTATCAGTGCGTCGCCCAGCAATGACCCACAGACAGGGTGGATGGGCTCGGCCTGGGCCTCCTGACTAGAACATGAGCGCGGCCCAGGCCAGGCCGCGAAGCATTTGAACATCACCATATTGGGCAGCTCTGGTTTGTCGAGGCCCTCGAGGGCGATGGCGTGAGACATGTGATCGAGCGCTTGGGTAAGATCCAAGTCTGCCCCGTCGGTGGCCTTCGAGCAGTCCCGAAGCCGCGCCGAGATGGCGCGGGGGGCCGAGTGGCCTCTGCGATTCGCGCACTGGCTGCCGCGTGGGGAAGGGGCGGCGTTGGCCGGGGCTTCCTAGCCGCGTGCGTAGGAGAACCGAGCCTCGAGCAGCAGCAGGTCGTAGAGCTCCCGCGCGACGGTTGGGAATCGATGCTCCAGGGCTCGCTGTTCCCGACAGGTCCAGCCATCCAGTCCTGGGCAAAATTTAGCTTGTTTGATGGCATCTCTGAACTGCTCGAGGGTGGGCTTCCAGTCCTGGGGCTGCGCTGTCTTTGTAAGCGCCGCCGAGCTTGCGCGCTGACGCCAGGCCGCCACGTCGGCGCAGTCATCGTAGTCTGGCGGGCCCCCGTGGCCTTCCACTGCGTCCGCATCTCGTCGACCGTCGCGGGCTGCGCTGGCGGAGAAACCTTGAACATCGGCGTTGTGTATTTCCAGATGCCCGATGGCCATGCTGGGAACTTCTGCCGCCGCTGCTGCGATGCATTCTCTCGTGACCGTCGTTGCTTCTTGTCCCTGGCATAGTTACCTTGTCGCGGGTAGGTGGAGTAGCTGAGGACGGTCCAGAGCCGCCCTCGCCACTTGGAAGTAGTGTTTGCCGTGCAGCGCGGCAGTGCGCGGCGCCCCCTGTCTGAGCACCTCAGCGAGCCGCCGATGGAGCCGAAGGAGACGCCGTTGAGCGATAGACTTGTGCAGCCTGCAAGCTGGCGAGTGCGATGTGGCTCGGGAAGAAGGCGCCGACCTTTTTCCTCGCCCCGCCGCGCGGTCCATGGTCATGCAATCTCGCACCGCAGCAATATTCATAGCATGTTCGGCTCGCGCGTGCCCGGATTTCCAGCGGGTAGCCAAGTCTGGGCCCTTGCCCTCGCCGAGCTCGAAGCTCGCGGGGGGGGGGGGGGGGGGGGGGGGGCGAACTCCTGATCCACCAGCCCCTGCATAAGGGCGCGCTCGGCGCCATTGGACTTCCGCAGGGGGGCGCATGAAGCCGCGTGACGCATGCGCGCGGGAGGTGCGTCCACGAAGCGTGTATTGAGCTCATAACTGACCAGGCCGTGATGCGGCGCGTCAGGTAGAGTGTGTTGTGAGTTGCGCAGGGGGGGCTTCAACGCTCCAGCGGGGTGCTCGCGCGGGCGCAGTAGTGGCAGGCGTCGTAGCTGGATCATTTCCAGGGCCTGGGCGACACGTGGACCACGCCGAAGTAACTGCCGAGTGAGCTGGCCCCCAGTTGGAAGCCAAGCCCCGCCCAGCTCCCGAGGACCAAAGATCGGCGCGAAGGATGCA